TTATCGAATCAATGTATGTAAAAGCTATATCTGTGTACATACATTGATAATTACAAGCTCAATATCATATTTGCTTTACTCTCACAATCAGTATAATATAATTTTCAGGATGGAGAATGTCAATGACCCAAAGCACTAATAAAAGTAATCGAAATGTATTCAAATCACTTATTTTAAGTGACATAAGTTTAAGTGCGAAATTGTTTGGACAAAGCAAAAATATTATAAGACTAAATTTTTAATCTAATCTTTTTTCTTCAATAAAATGAACATTCCAAATATTCAATTTGTATAATTCATATCTACGTCATTATGACGTCAGATTTCTATAATACATCAATTTAATAATTGTTTCAATTTGGATAGGTAATTAAGATTTAATTAATACATGTATGTGCATTAAATGTTACAGACTCCTGAAGCCCATTCAATCAAATATAAAATACATTATATTCTAATTTGCTCCATCTTTTCTGTTACACAGTGATTTAATGCTTGCCATTATGCAACAAAGCGCATGCAGTTTGCGTGATGCCAAAACCTGCGGAGTAACATTCTCGTTGCACATGCATTCGAGGGATTAAATTCAGACGACAATGCAGAGCTTCAAACCTCTACACGGATGAGCGATTCTTCGCATTAGCCTTTCCGAAAATGTCATTTCCTGTTTAAATCTCGTACGTATATCATGTATATTCCGAGAAACACCGCGCCGCACTGATTGGGATGCAAAATTCCGCCACGCGATCTGACGCGCGTTCCTCCAAGATATGACACTTCTTCTCGATAATAGATAAAAATTGTGTATAATTTGAACGATGAATTTAACAGAGTATCATCTTATACCTAATAAGCGATAAAGATCACTATAGGACTCACTCGGGTGAAGCTGAACGCAGCCTATAACAGATTTCCTATAGATTCACAATAATGCTAGAATCCACCGTCTATTCGAAAAACGACAAATGATGATAGATGATACTTTAACAGCGGAACTTGTTAATCCGTCATTTATTATCTGCGAGCTATTGATATTTCTAAATTCAAAGCACGAACTATTATCGGCCTTCAATAACCGGCAACCGTCTATCGCCATGCCGGAGGTACGAGATTGAATTTCGCTCGCGCGCCGCTCCGATAATCGTCCTCTGACACTCGCTCACAACATGTAAACATCAATCGCGTGCACTCACCGCAAACATTGAGCCAGCCCTCAACGCGGCAGGGATACTCCAGCTTCATCTTCGTCTCTCGTATGCGCGGAAATCCAGGTCGCGCGGTGACGATCTCCTCCCTCGGGCAGATAGGTCAGGCACACAAACTGATCACACAAATCTCCCTCGTCCGGTTTATCACTGAGAAATGATACCGCCGAACGATATCATGCCGCCGCGGCACACATTCTTCCTTTTCTCCCTTTCGTTCACGCGGTCGCGCGCGAGGGAGATATTGCCGAACGTATACACACACCGAGTCCCAAAATCCGACGCACCGCGTATTCCCGCGTATTCCCGCGAACGTAATGAAGATAGTAGAGAACAACACACCGCGCGAATGCACACTCACTTCAGACGACACGGGAGCGGGAGCGCGCGCGCGCAAAACGCGAAACACACGCGACGGCGAACGACTCCGAACTGAACGGCGGCGCAGCCGGCACCACGGCTCGCTCCGCTCCGATCGCGGTGCGCCGAGAGAACCACCCGACCCGACCCGTCTGTCTCTCCCACCAGAGAGAGAGAGAGAGAGAGAGTCGTGTCCTCTTTCTCTCTCTCTCTCTCTAGTTCCCACCCGCGCCGATTTCTCTCGCTCGCTCCTTTCGCTCTCGTTGTCAGGTGGCCGGCCCGTTCTCGCAGCCGCTTGCTGTTTTGCGTCTATTCGCGCGCGCACGTCACGCGTAATCACCGTCGACCGGTGTCACTCGACAAATCGGCCACTTTGATCCCGACGCGTCTGTCGCTTCCATATACCGGAGTTCAATACTCGCGGTCTGTTATGAAAATACACACGCGCAATTGGGGAGTTTGCAAGTTTCGACGCGGCTGTATAGCATTGAAAATTGGCAATAAGATCAAGTTACTGAGAACGATATGGCAATATACAGGGGAGAGTGCGAATCCCCAGGATAAACGCGGACGATACTATTGCAGTAGAATGTAATTAGAGTAGAGATATAACTTCTCATTTCTCGTATTCAATGATAATCGGTGCTTAATGCCGTACTATAACACGTGACCATAGAACGTACATGCATGTTTTTGATAATTTTGAGATAGGGGAAAATGAAGTAATTATAAATACTTGAGAAAAAAGTTCTTCTGAGAAAAAACTTGTTCAACTTACTTACTTTTTGTCTTTTTCTACTTCTAAGAATTAGAAACGGATACAGAGTAAGTTAAACCGAGATATAAGTTAATTTACATTGATAGAAATGGATATTAGAATTACTTTCTTTCAATAACTGTAATTTATAATTCCGTTTCTTTTTTTCTATTTATATAACCTAGTTACATTCTTTTTTATAACTAATAATTAATTTAATAAATACTGTTACTTTATATCAAATTTACTTATCAACGTATCAATATTTGATGCTGATTAAAATAAAATCAGTCGGTGAGCAGTCAGTGATAATTTCGTGTGATTGAAATATATCCCTGATAATTGTACGTTTAGTAAATAAACCAAAAAGGTAGTAATGTTAGAAATATATAAGAGATTCTTGTATTTTTAAAATAGCGCGACTAGCTTTTGAGCAACTGTAACTGGAACTACATATGTTACTTTTCAGAATCGGTTACTTTTGTAACGGTAATTTGTATAACCAGTTACTTTTTGAGAGAAAAGGATGGTAATTCTGTAATTTATTGTTTTTACAAAGAAACTTTCCCAACACTCTGCTTTAATCTCGGTTCAATTTATTTTTCATCTATATTAGTAAAAACGAGCATTACTGATCTTTGAATACATTATTATCGATTAATGAAACTGAATAACAATACGAGGTATTTTTGTTAAAGATTTTCTCGATTGCTACTTCCATAAAGTGCAAAATTAATTTAACATAAAGTAACAATAATATTACACCAATGTTATAATTTTCTAATTAACAATAGGTCTGTCAAGTTGCTTGCACTTTTTGCACTCAGTTTCTTTTTATTTTTTTTTCTCTCTTTAATACCCGCGAATAGATATAATATTTATTTCGTTTTGAATAAAAATTTTTTGGGAATTTTAAACAACATTAACAGAGCTAATATAAACTTAACACATGTTTTATATAACAGTTACATTGTAGGAAATAATAACATTACGATATAATCATTATAATGCTATTGTTATTTAGCGGAATACGTATCACAAATATAGTATTATACATGAGTCTACCGAAGTTTCTTGTTTAATCGAAACATACGATTTTTAATTCACGTGCAGTTCTGTAGCTAATAACATCCTGCGGCTACGTATTTATAGAATGTTATCGCAAAAAGAGCTTCATATTATTTTAGAATTTAATATTAAATGTTTATAAATGTGCATACGCGCGCGCCAAAATACGCTCGTGATGAGAATTTGTAAAAGAATCAAAAAGTGATATTTAAATCGTCTATCGTGAACATCTGAGATATCTATTAAAGTCGTCGCTGCTTGATTCCGAATTAATATTTCGAGGGAGACGGAGTGACAGTCGAATCTGGAGCAGGTCGCGATGCCACAAAAAGATTACCACGATGTAACGTAAACTTCGATTCTTATCCACTTTATTCCATTTCTCGTGATTTTAATGACGTTATAACTCTTCTTTACATATAATCTCCTCGATTTATTAGACAATTAATCAGATCTCAATGATGTTCAGCAGAAAAAATAGCTCTGTAACTTTTTTACATTCTTCGACAATATTAATTTTTTCCTTAATTCCTCACTGGATTTTATAATGTAAATATATCTACATATAGCAAAATTACTTCTTTCTGCTAAATACAACCAATCTTGCTTCCGACTGAGACCAAACAGTGCAGATAGTACGATTTGAATTCGAAAAGTAACTATCTTCATATAGGTATCTGTTATAAATTAGCGTAATTCGTTTGAAATTAATTCAAAAAGAATTTCTTTCCCATAGTCAATAATAAACTTCATAAAAGTATATTTTTTAAATTTTTTTTATAAGTTTTATTAGAATATATATATATATACATATATATGTATATATATCATCTAAAAGTTAATTTGATTTTATCCATTGCGAACTCATATTAGATATAAATAAATTAAAAAAAGGTTATTATTTGACTTTGAAAAAAGTCTCACATTTGATAACGTAAAAGTAAATTCTTTTAGGACTCTCAGGACATGTACTTTCATAACAGAAATAGAATGTGGAACAAGTAAACATTTATTTTATAAATCAAAATTTACTACTCTCCATCGACTCTGTTAATGAATTTATTTATTGCTTCAAAGTTATCATCTATGTCCTTCAATGCATCCTTATGAATATGTGTATATAACGTAGTAGTAATTAGGCAAGTTTGTTTTAAGCCTTTTCTATAATAGGGTAAACTCGATCGTAAACCGTAAACCGTAAGAAAAATTAATTAATTATACTCGATTATTTTTGTCACATTCATTATAGTCATCAACTTTTTATGGCTTACGACTTGCGATTCTATTGTAAAACGGGAATTAGTCATATTTGATTTTTAATTAAATTCTTTGATTGTTTGGATCACGATTTCCACATTATAAACTAAATTTTGGGTGTGGAATGCTCGACGATTCTACTCTATAGTTGCTGAGCTTGAATATTCGAAATAAAAGAAAAGTATTTTGTTTTTCGGAACGATTAATCGGATAGCTAATAATACACGAAGTGGTGGCACGTCCCCAAGTCCTCATCTACTCGCCGTGTACGCAGATGCCGATCGAAGCGGACACTCGGCCAACTTCGCGCCGCAACTCGGAAACATCAGCGCACCGCGCGTCGCCATCTGGCGAACAGTCCTGTCAAAATGGCGCTCAAGGGGCAAGTCGGGCAAAGTGAGTAACGTAAAAAAGCGTTAATTTCGCGTGGCATTAGGATTTATTAGTAAACATTATTGCGCGACATTGTCAGGCGACTCGCGCGGCGTCTCGATCGCGTTGCTCTCGCGTCAGCCGATCTCGCGATCACGCCGAGAGATCCGTCTTGATTGGGCGTACGCACGCTCCCCGATGATTACATCGGATGGCTGCACGACGGAGAAATGTCAAACGCTGCTGCCGAGCAGTTGAACATGCTCGAGAAAAATTGCGGTGCACTATAGAATTCAATTCTCGATGTGTCAGATGTGGAGAAATATATTTTTAAATATACTTTATGGCGATCGTCGCGTGTCGATCACCAAAACAAATCATTTCTGCGTGCTTGCGAAGTCGAAAATTGAGCTTATCGGAATTGTTACTGATTTAATATCAGTCAGGACAATTGACGAATATTGAATGTGCAAAATACGGACATTTTTGTGAAAACGTTTGCAAGTATTCTTATACGTCAGGCATCGTTCGTAGATCAGTGAAAGAATTGGAGGAAACACTCATTTCAATTATATTAGGTTTATGTGTGTTTATCTAACTAAAAATTTCGGGGCAAAACGCAAAGTTTTTATTCAGCAATGAGCACTATCTGAGATTTTCGATTGTGTTCCTACGTCGCACTTTTCTCGATAAAACTGTTGCTTTTTTAGAACAGTTCGTATTGGTTTCAAGATGTTATCAAACGAGTGTAAATGAAATTAAATATCTATTTAATTTGCTATTATATTTCTATACGTTTACAAAATCAATATACGCTCATACAGAATTATTTTACGCTTATATACGCATAATTTTTAAGAGCGTGTAAATATTAAATTGAAATAAATATTATTTAATAATTCTATAAATATTAATATAAATAAAGATTTTATATTGTCAATGTTACAGAAACTTCCGTAAAATCATTTGATGTATTAGATACAATATATAATATGGTGTAATATTACTGAGAGACTTGAACTTTTTATGTATATAAGAATTATTTTAGTAATTAATTATCTGATTTTCATATACATTTTTTAGAAGTGATTTGGCTAAAAAATTCCGTTTGTTTTTTTTAAATATCGTTTATGATGTTGAAAGTCACGAAGTTTGATCTTCTGTCTCTACGAGATTAAGAAAGATCTTTTTTACCTATAAATAACTGTCGTTGTTTTATTTACGAGAATATTGAAAAATGGGGTTTGCTACTTCGTTGATACATACCTGCACGCAGTGACGTCATCTCTCTGTGAAGACGATCAATATACATGTTGGAAAACGTCAAAGGACTTTTTAGTCCGTCATCGTCAGCGTGATTAATTATCAGTTAATCATTATAGTATCAACTTTTGTCAATGACTCGTGTGAAGAGTTAATAGTGCTTGCTCATTTTTGTTGGAGCAACAATTAATTTTCCTAGATTTTTAATATTAAAAGAAAATTACAAGCTCGCGTATCTGTTACTTTTTAAACATAATCTAATTATATTGTTTAAATTGGAATTGCCAAAGTTTAAATAACATAATTTTAGTATCTCTGAATCACCAAAAATGTCACTTCGTTTATTTTCTACCCTCGTTTTCGTTTAATAAAGAGTTATTTTGATATTATAATACTTATATATATATATATATATATATATATATATCATTAGAATTATTTGTTTTATATTCACAATTTTGATATTTTTATATTCGTATATCTATCATAATATAAAAAAAAAACAATTGAAATATTAACGCAACCCAAATGTCACTATCGATGGTTCTAATATGAAATAAAATACCTTAATTAGGAATTAGCAAGTCAGTTATTGCAATTTTAAGGTGCCTCTACGTAATTCGCAAAACGAAGTCCGCGAACGTAGAATAGCATTTGTGTTCTTATTGCGAGCGGCTGGTTTTTATATTACAAGATAATTCGGGGGGGGGATGCCACTTTATTTATATTTTGTCATGAAACATTTATTCGCCATTCGAAAAAGCGCAATTATCGAAAAATTCATGCCATTTGACATTGAAACATATTTAACAAAATACGAAAAAGTAAGTCATGAAGTATGCTCTTTATAACATTTAATACGCTAAAGCCAATGGGCCTTCTACAATAAGCCATAGATCAATTATAAGTTATAAGCTAGAAATCATAGTCGTCATTTTTTAGTTTCTTACTTCTGATTTATGGCTTATTGTAGAAGGCCTATTAGATTTGTGCTTTGATGCTTACAGTAAAATCTAACAAATAATATACAGTTTTGATCAGTGTTTTTTGGCATGGATCGTAATTTATAATATTTTTATATGCGTAAAAGTTGCAATTACATATTCCTCTTACACTTTGGGGGAAAGATGACAGTAAATACAAAACACAATATTTTTTGCTTGATATCGTTATTAAAACGATTTTATGAATTAAAATTTTAGATGTATTATATAATTTGAAATATTTTAAGTTAATGAAATTCTGTTTAAATAAATAAAAGCACGCCTAACTTTTTACTTCCTAATAAATTATTCTCTTTCATACTTCCTTAATTTATGTTTTATCATATCTTTATGCGTTTTTATAGCTTAAATTCTTGATTATCGACTGTAAATAAGTAAAATATGCAAGTTTATATTGCATTACATTATTTAACTGCTTGTGACATCTCTCATAGAAAGTGGCATCTTATCTTATCCATATATACATATAGGGGGAAAGTGCTATTTTTGCAAGGTATATACGTATCAATTTTTTCCAATAATACGAAATGTCAAAAATTTAATTCGTTAATTTGTATGAATAAAAAAAGGTTTCTATAATATAAATAATATTTTTTCGTAAGTTAATTCAATAACATTAAGAAGTTATTTTGAAGAATATATATAAAGACTTAAGTGTGACATTTTTTCTAGAATTACCTTATCTTGTGTGCAATGATCATCATTTTGCGTCAGCACTTAAGCTACGTTTTGTGATTTGCGAATTATATATAGGCACCCTTAGTTTATGAAGACATTTTTTTTCTTTTAGTTATTGCCGCTGATTTGCTACAACAACACAACTCAAACAAAGTTTTTTAGAAAATTAGTTTAAATATTTTAAATCGCGTTACAATTTTGTAATATATTAATTTTCCTTTTTTCTTTATATTTTTATTCTCTTTCTTTTTTTTTACTAATCTAAAAAATAATACTTCTTGAGTTATATATGTTGTTGTAGTAAAGCGATATGTATTGTTTGTTTTATATACTTTTTAATAAAACACGCATTGTATAATACATTTCGTACGAGAGAATGTAATTACTAAAATATTGATTTCTCTGTTACAAAGTATGATATAAATATTACATTTCTGTACAGTTACAGCAAAGAATATTCTTTGATAATTTGCATTTTATTAAAGGAAAATAAAGCTACTTATAAAATTTGTTAATTAAAATTTCATATTTGAAATTTTGCAAGATATAAAATTAATAGTTGCTTTAATTATTTAGCTCTTGTATTGTTGCTCAAGTTGATGTTATTATTTTATTCCCGAGTCTCTATATAAGTTTACAATTCTTTAAGACTTTATCACTGGGATAATTAATTCTCTCACGTTGCAGAGATTATGAACGAGGTGATCAAGCAAAAGAAGAAGTCAACAGGTGGGGTAGAATGGCGAATCTTGGTAGTGGATCAACTTGCTATGAGAATGGTGTCCGCTTGCTGCAAGATGCACGATATCAGCGCTCAGGGTATCACCCTGGTGGAGGATATCAATAAGAAACGCGAACCTCTGCCGACGATGGAAGCCATTTACCTTATTACGCCTTGTAATTCGTCGGTGCAGAAATTGATTGACGACTTCAGTAATCCGACAAGGACCATTTACAAAGTAGCTCATGTGTACTTCACAGAAGGTATTTCCTACATTTAATTTTGTATTCTCAAAGAATATTGTTTTCCAAAAATGAATCTACTATCTAGTATTTTTTTTTTTTAAAGATATGCAATTTCGTATAGATAGTCTCTCAAAATAGAAAACGCAAAAGGTCTTCAGAGAAATTTCGAAAAAATACTTTTTAATTGAATTATCTTTATCGTAAATTTATAATTTGTGATACATATGTACAGATTACTTAAATATATTAATTCAATATAAATTTATATTTTCTCTCATTTAAATTTATTGTAAGACGATTTTAATTATGCTTTAGTTATTATTTTATTAGATTATCCTTTTTAATACTTGACTTTTAATATATTAAATAATATAATATTAAATAATGATACACATTAAACATTTTAAATATTTTGCTCAAGTTATTCGAAATTCATTAAAAATTAAACCTATTTATATATCCTAATGATTCCCACAACAGGTCTCCATGCAAGGGTATCCGATTATCTAAATTCACAACGATACGAGTTTATTGAGTCTTTCATTAAATATAAATTAATAAGCTCATTGAGATGTTTTGAGAAGAACGATCGTACAAAATTACCGGTTCGATTTCTTTATAATTTCTCGTGTTTCGACATACTCAGTATATCTCTTTGCAGCATGCCCTGACGAGTTGTTCAAAGATTTGTGTCACTCGCTGGTAGCTAAGCACATAAAGACACTAAAAGAGATCAACATCGCTTTCATACCGTATGAAGAGCAGGTAAAGCAATGAACACTATGGCAAGAAAAAAATATTTGACCGTTTCGTCCTTCATAGTGGTGGCCATACACACACGTACAGAGACACTTATACAAAACGCTATAAAATCATTATTTCTTCACGCGTTTTATGTTCACTTCTCGGTCTTCAATCACGTAAACTTAATCGCACGGGTCCGGATGTAAATCAGGATGATATTAATATCCAGCGTTATCCTCTTATCCGATCTGTCCAATCCATCCTCTGAGCCTTTCACATTATTTATAAACAAGCACATACTAATAATCAGAATGCATTCATGCTTGCGATTGATGCCAGTATGCCCGGAGGAGCTGTTCAATGAAATCTGCAAGTCTCTTGCTGCTAAAAAGATCAAAACCCTCAAAGAGATCAACATCGCATTCTTGCCGTACGAATCGCAGGTGACGATTAAGCAGACGAAAATAATAGACGCTAGTTGTAGCTCCATAGCGCGAAATGTGTCTTCAATCTTCGAGCATTCACAAGCTTAGAGATTTCTCTGCTTTTTCCGGTTCGCGTCAGTTTACCTTTAGGTTGCAAAAGACTAGGCAATATAGACTTCTTATTGAAGAAAGTCTTCTTCACACCACTTCCTTTTGACTCAAAAATCTATATGTTTTACGTACATGCTTGTAATGTGATCACTAATCGAATTATCCGTATAGCCCGATTTTGTTATTTTTAAAGCTATTAATTGGCATGCTTATTTATTTTGCTTTAAGTACAAAACTTTGTAATTCAATTTATTTTTTGTCATAATGCGAATATCGCAAAACTGAATCTGCCGTTTCATAGGTCTTCTCGTTGGACTCACGTGAAACTTTCGCTTGCTTTTACAACGCCTCTTTCTTTAATCTGAGGTCAGCCAATATGGAGCGTATTGCTGAACAAATTGCAACACTTTGCGCCACACTTGGAGAATATCCATCAGTTAGATATCGCAGGTAATTTCGATCTAAATATGATTTAAAAATATTAATAACTTGTTAATTGTAATTTCTTGTTGATGAAGATTAATTATACAATGTTTGATAGCATTAAAAAAATACAACTATTATGTATCATAGTGACTTCGATCGCAATGTTGAACTCGCTCAATTGGTGCAACAAAAACTAGATGCATACAAGGCTGATGAACCAACAATGGGAGAAGGGCCTGAAAAAGCTCGTTCTCAATTATTGATTCTAGATAGAGGATTTGATTGCGTCTCACCTTTACTACATGAACTTACACTGCAAGCTATGGCATATGATTTGTTGGACATTGATAACGATGTCTACAGGTAAGTAAATACATTTAATACAACTAAATATATTACATAAATTTCGAACAAAATTCTAATGTCATATAACATTAAATAGGTTTGAAGTAACAGCAGGTCAAGAAAAAGAAGTATTGTTGGATGAAAATGATGATTTATGGGTCGAACTCAGGCATCAACATATTGCCGTAGTCTCTCAGTATGTACAAACATAGGTCATAAATTTTCCAAAAATGATTAATAATTATAAAGAATATTGTAATAATAAAACGTTATTTTTCAGGAATGTCACTAAAAATTTGAAAAAGTTTACAGAATCAAAAAGAATGCCACAGGGTGATAAACAAAATATGCGAGACTTGTCGCAGATGATCAAAAAGATGCCGCAATATCAAAAAGAATTAAGCAAATATGCTACACATTTACAATTAGCCGAAGATTGCATGAAGCGTTATCAAGGAAATGTAGATAAACTTTGTAAAGTGGAGCAAGTGCGTAATATCATAATCACTAACTTATAATCCGTTTAATAAAATATATTTTTTTAATTATAAGTATTTACGATCGTGTTTTAGGACTTAGCCATGGGTACTGATGCGGAAGGCGAACGTATCAAAGATCATATGAGGAATATCACACCGATTTTGCTTGATCAGACTGTGAATCATTTGGATAAATTACGTATCATAGCTTTATATGTCATCAGCAAAAACGGCATCACCGATGAGAATCTTAATCGTTTAGTTCACCATGCCCAAGTAACTGTTGATGACAAACAGACTATTGTTAATATGGCAAATCTCGGCATTAATGTTGTTGTAGATGTAAGTTAAAAGTTGCAAATTATATCTCATTAAAAAGATTTATAGTAACATTTTAAATAGTAATTTAATTCTATTGTTCTTAACGTTGTTTTACAGAGCAATCGTAAAAAGTTATATACGGTACCACGCAAGGAAAGAATTACAGAGCAAACTTACCAAATGAGCCGTTGGACGCCAGTCATTAAAGACGTTATGGAGGATTCCATCGAGGATAAACTAGATTCTAAACATTTTCCGTTCCTTGCCGGACGTGCAGCTAGTTCAGGATATCATGCACCAACCAGGTATGCAGTATTTAGTAAATAATATTTTTGCTTTATCTAAATTTGTTGTTATTAGGTTTCTGAAAATATTAATAACTTGTAAACTTGTAGCGCACGATATGGACATTGGCACAAAGACAAAGGTCAACAGACTATAAAAAATGTTCCTCGTTTGATCGTTTTTATAGTTGGAGGAATGTGCTTCTCTGAAATACGATGTGCATATGAAGTTACGAACGCATTAAAAAATTGGGAAGTTATAATCGGTAAGAAATTTTTATATCTAATTTCTATTTGAGGTAAAAAATAATTTATAACCAAAGTATGTGTGTGTGTGTGTGTGTGTGTGTGTGATTGAAAATCTATCTATTGTTTTAAAATATTTATGTATTTTTGTAGGTTCATCCCATATAATTACACCAAAGTCATTCCTGAATGATTTGAGTAAAGTACACGTCTAAATGATTGATATTTAACAAATAGAGATAACATTCCTGAATTCCTAATTTGCCATTAGTTTCAATTCCATCAGTAATATCATTTATGAAGCCATGAATGATCTCGAGTATAAAATTAGGTTTATTAAATAACAAACACAGAGTCAATTCTCTTTAAGCGAAAGCATTTCGAACAGAAATCAAGCAAGTATCCCGTTGTCAGTTGAATAATAATGAAAGTATTTGTGTATCGAGCACGAAGAGTTTTGATCAGACCGAGTTATCAAGTGCCTGCGCGAATACATAATCAGAAATTGTATGAGATACTTTGGCAATATTGATATAAATTGCACGAAGCTATATAATCGAGCCTTTCAATGGTATCGTAATCGAGTCTTTAGCAAAGCTCTAGAAATTTATCATTATTATTCTTTATTAGTAATAAAAAGGAATTTGTAAAACTATATCTGCTTCATAGAAAAGAATCGTGATATTCCTGTACATTTCTTCTTATTAGTATTTTGTTATTTTTTTCCTCGTTGAAACTTACTATATTCAAATTGACATCTTAAGTGCAAATTATAATTCTCTATTATAATAGAAATTAAATCCATAAATAATATAAATATAAATAAATCTATATATAAATATCTTGTCACATTTGGCTTTATTCTCTTTAAATGTATTATGGATATAACAACTGTAACAGCGATATAAAGTTATTTATTCGATATTATTTCTTACATCTCTAATTAATGGTATTGAATGTAAAATAAAATCGCTAGATGTATACAGCCCGACACTTATTCTTCCTTTGTTAACTTATTTATCTGTATTTTTATCAGTTTATGCACATTATATACTCTTAAGTTTACCAATTACCAATTCAGATGTCATTTTTAATGTAATTTATAAATATATAATATTCACAATATAAAAAAAAATGTTCAGCTCTCTCTTTGACAAATTTGATTGCTTTTGTGTTCAATGTAATACAGGTACAACAATTATAATATACCAGATATTGCAAAATTTATTGCAATTGTTCTATAGTTGTATAAAGAATCGTTTTTTTTCGATGAGAAATTTGCGTTTGTTGATAAATAATAATGGTAATGATTATTAATGTAATGTCAATAAATGTTGCGATCTACTAGTGAAGAGATTATTACAAAGTTAAACGATATTTATAAAGTATATTCTGTTATAATATATATATATGTATGTATGTAGATTATAGTCTGTGAGCAATGTTCTACTTATAAAGGCCTATAATGCGTTCTACTCTTGAGTCTCTTTAATTATCATTATGCCTCGTCTATGCCAATTGAATTATAAAATTATAAAAGAATATGATAATAAATATGTATGATAAAAAAAAAATCTGTTTACATGTATTTAGAAATATTATATATTTATATATAATATATATATATATATATATATATAGATGTTATTTTTAGAAGTAACAATTATATAGTAGAGTTGATGAAGTTTCCGAAGGTTATCAGTAAGGTGATATAGTCAAAGTTCGCCAATATTAATAAATATTATACGTAGACATGACATATATGTGGGGCATTCCACGCCAAGTGGGCCACCCATTTTGCGAAGTTCCATGAATTTCGTTCATATTGCGTGAACTTGAACAGTTTGATGAATAAAGACTCTATGCCAAATAATATACCTATAGGCCAACTGGTTACCGAACTGTAGAACCGTCAATTTTTGGGCTTTCTCGTTGCAGCGCTCTTTTCGCTTGTCGTTAGTGGGCATGAAAGGCAATTTTGAAAATAAAGTGCAGACGTATTATAGAAAATTGAACGCTCTTTCACGTAAGAATATTCTTTTTTTTTTATCAGACCGGTTTACGATGATGTTTTTCAGTTTTGAACTTTTCAAAATGGCGGCGCGACTAAAAAGCCGCTCTCAATTTTCAATTAATTTAGCTCAAAATGTAGCTCCAGGTCTCTACTTTGTTACTCTAAAAGGACTTAATGACACACGCATTCGTTTAGGAGTAAGAGCTAGGAAAGTGAGGCAATGTCGCTCCGTCCCCCTGCCGCATCACTCATTTTCTGAATTGTTCTGAACCAGACATTTTCAAATGTCTGAATCAATACTTTATTACGAATTTTATTAATAAAAGACGTACTGCAGTAAACTCTATGCTACTTTATTTGCCTTAAATATCTACGTATTTTTCACAAATATAATTCAATATTTCATAACTGAATGATTTCTGAAAGATTAGCAAGGTATCGCAGCAAAAAAAGTAATTGTGTGACAATGCGTAATTAACTTTAGACAAATACCATCTCTAGAAGTCCAATCGCGGATCGCGCGCATGCAACAGTTGTGGGAGAGAAGTGAGGTTCACAATAAAACACTACTGCTACATCGTTTTTGTTTTCATTTTAGTTATTAATTAGTTAAACCTTAAGATTATCTTAGCATATTCATGAAGATTACAATATAATATACCATATCTTTAAGAATATATTAATAGTATACACAGTGCGTGACCTTTTTTCTTCTGCATCTGCACTATTTTCGGCATAGCAACTAAGGAAAGAAACTACTGTCAAATACGAAAGCATGACAGCGCTTTTTTCTGATATATCTATATCTCAGCTATGAGCGATTTTCTGTACAGATTTCTTTATACTTGTGTTTCGTTTCGCATCACTCTGTTTTACATATATTATTATGTAACATGCAAAATTACACACTAGGGAAGGTTTCTCATGCATATTCAATAATCTGTAATAACTCTTGTATTCACATTTGCACGTTAACGTTAGTTCAAATATCGAAATCTGTTTTTTTTTATTTCGGATAATTAATAACAGTACAGATTGTGTGTGTGTATATATATATATATGTATGTATTTGTGTGTGTGTGTGTGTGGAGGGCGCTCGCGCGCGTGTATAGTGTAGATTGATGTTGCTAAATAAGTAGAGAAATTTATAATAGATACATACCATATACGTATCAAATCAAAATTACAAATATTATCACAAAAAAGTTGTGCAATATCAATTACATAACCTCTAAAGTATTAATAAAAAAAAAAAGAAAACTAAGATATATTGTAAAAAAAACTTGGTATATTTCAAATCTTTGATATTTTACTAACAGATTATATTACAAGATTGGAAAAATTGAAACTCACGTAGCACTTGACGAATCAGTTTTTAAAATTCGATTTATTTATAAAAAATTATATTTAACATAAATACGAAAGTAATTTTACGAGCTAGCGCCATCGATACAACGAAAAAAGAAAATATAGACACATGAACGTAATTAACGCTCACTTAACAATTGCTCTTTCTTTCACTCATTCTTTCTCTCTCTCTCGCTCTCTTTCTTTCCCTCCTCTTATTTAACAACATCAAGCAACGTCTCTTTTCAGCCATTTATTTTTCATTTCGTTATTATTTATGTACAACCAGTTTAAATGTTCGCTATCGTTAATCGTAGTAAGTTTGCTAAAATTTGTGTTCTATTGGAGATGATGTGCGTTCGTGGGAACTTATATAAAAAATTACTTTTTGATACAGAGCTGAGTGATTTTGGTGTTACTTAGAAATATGGGTGGTGTATGTTTATATCCTAACTTATGCTGAGATCCTAATTGATTACATAATCTATATGTCGGCTTCCTTATAAATCTTATCACATACATAGACGTTTGTATTATTAGTACTTAATATTTTATACATAGATAATATTCCGTACTCCGAATGCTGCCAATTTTACCTTGTATGTACAATTACAAGCTACATATTATACAATCTTAATATCTACGTACACTCCTTTTTCATACTTTCATTCTTCCATCTAATTATCCCTTTTCTTTTTATCATGCACTTGATATCTTTTTTGTTTCTTTTTTGGTTACTACACATTGTCATGCTGCTGGCATACAATATGGTCACTCGTACTGACCGCACACATGAGAAATATGTAATAACAAAAAGGAACCAAAAATAACATTCAATTTTTATAGGACATTATACCGAAATAATAGTAAATTGGTAATACAAACTATCAGCAGAAACATTTTGCACTTTATCGTTAAATTAAATTTATATTATTAGCATTTACTCAATAAAAAAAATTTCGAATATAATTTTTGAACATATTTCAATAACCTCTCTCTCTCTCTCTCTCTCTCTCTCCCCCCCCCCCCTCCCCCTCTCCCTCTTTCTCTGCCAATAATTTATATTATTATTTTACTATTCTAAACATTGCGAATTATAATGTCCAAATCAAACCATTAATAGTTCCATTCGAATGGAATTTTTTTTTACATATAGACAATCGAAGTTTATGAAATGAAACAAAACGTAAATCTATTCAAATCAAAATCATTTCTGATTGTAAAAATTTCTTTTTTTAGTTTTTTTATCTCCCAAACTGGGCATGACGCTAGATACTTTACATATCATATGAAAAGAACACATATTTATTAATTTTTATACATTGCTAAATTGTTAATCTCGCACCGAACTACTACTTCATTATGTGTATACATCAACAATAATGTACTGATGACTAAATCATTGTACATACTAAATCGCGCGAATATTACTATCGCAGCGCGTATAGATAGTATATTTTAAGAATTAGATCATAGAGATCCTTCTTAATTTTGATTAGATAAAAACTGCAAACAGGCGCTCGTATTACGCCCGAAGACACATCAAAACAAAAAATTACAGAAATATTCTAATATTGCTAGATGATGATCAACGATCAATGAAACCAAAATCGTTATTGATATGACACAACACACCCAAGAATAAATAATATCTCTGCCCAAAGATCATTTTTATTTTTCTGACGAGCTCCCCTTTATTTCCAATATATAAAATAATAAAAATATGATTGTGAAGAGTGGCATGAACATTTGAAATTGACTTTACCATCAATAATATAATATTCTTGTATTCTTTTCTATTCTCCATCACGTTATTTTAATCTTTCACTTGATCTATAATAGAGAGCTCGAGGGATGACAATTCCAAAGAAAATTCTAGATTTATCAAAAAAGATCTTTTCACCTCACTCTATTCTTCTCCTCTTCAATTAAATCCCGGCCATCATATTTTTTAACGTTATAAAAATCATGATATTGTTTAAAACCTCAAAATTTTAGATAATAATAATTATTTTTGATCAATCATCATACATCTATAATTCTGCCAACATAACGATTGCTCCTTGCCAATAAGTATCGCCATATATACAACAAAGACTATACAAGTTTATGGTTCCTAAAAAAATAAAATTGTAGTTATACAAATAATTTATATATAATAATAGTATTATTTTTACTTTATACTCAATATATTATTAATGTGTCGTTACGGTCATAACGCGTAATCTAAATACTTTTAAGAAATTAATTAATTATAGTAATAACACGCAATGAAAAATTGTTTTAATCACTTTTTGTACTTTTCTGGCGAATTAATTTTTTTTATAATATTTTTTTAGAATTTACTCGATTCGCATATCTTGTTTGATCGGCTCCTTTAATTGGGCCATATCCAAAGTGTTCAACATATTTTTGTTTGCTCATTCATGATACGTCGAGTAAATTTTAAGACAAAATTACACGAAAAAATTTACTGAAATTTTCCAAAAAAATTTTTACATTTTAATAACTTTTCGATATCATGAAATACCATATCCTAGTAATCGAATAAATATAATTCTCCTCTAACATGTTCTTCCCTAATACGTACAACATCACGATTTTCGTTCCCATGAGCTTAAAGTATACCAAGACTTAGGTAGTCTGATCTAATAGTTGGTAGGATCAAAACTACTTCAATTCTAGAATCATCTTATCGTTATTCGTAATAATTGACGACATTGTTCTAAAGTGAGTTAATGAATAACTTTGAATCGATCAGCTGGCTCGTAATAACTCTTGAATCAATCGCAATATACGCTGTTAATATTCTGATCGATCAACAGTTGATCAATTGAAGTCACAAGTGGACAGCCGTGATGATCATTCTTAAATTCACCAAGTTCTTAGAGATGTTCTCGTATTATTTTACATTTTCTATCATTATTCACATATACGCCTAGCTATAATTTGTGTTTGTTTACACAGCGTATATGAATAATCCAGAAAGAAATTCGCAAGGACATTATTAATGACAGTTAATAATTACATGTATTATTGGCAGAAACGTTTATATACGTAATCCTACCAACGATTAATGACTCAATGTGGAAAAATACAAAACTTAACTAAATGTACACGATTTTTTTACTTTTCTTCAAGCCGACATTCGTATTTACGCACGCATTCGGTTATCACATGCAAACGTCTCTTATTTTCAATATGTTGTTTTCAAATTTACATAAAGTACAAACTTATGAAAATCGAAAAAATGTAACACAATATCAGTGTAGCATTTTCGAAGTATCATATAAGTATTTATCTAATTACATAGTCGCACTCAAGTGTCTGTCGTTCTAGAGACAATACAGTTTTGTCTCCGTTTTAATAAACTGTTTGAATCTTCCGACGACCTAATGGGTTCTCTGTTGGAATGTCCCAACCGTATCATTTTATGATAACTAGCACTGTGTCGCCATCGTTATTTATCTGATTTCATTGTCTGCGTTGTTTTTATTTATTGATATTATATTCAAAGATTTCTGTAACATCGCTCAACGCTAAACATATACGTCCGAGTTTTGCAAAGTTTTTGTGGGTTTATTATAAACAGAATATAGTAACATTATAAAGATTCCTCAAACGCAGCCATCAAATCGCTCTGCATGTTCATGTCAATTTGGCTAGCCATCTGAAAAGATAAATATAACCATTCTTCGCAAATCCCTTTATTATGGGTGTCAAAGAGAATATTTTTATTTTGTGTGTGTACATACCAATATAAATCTACTTAAAAAAAATCAAATTTACTTTAATTTATATAGCAAGTTATAAATTAATCAAATTGTACTAATTAAAATTTACATCATGTAACATAAATTTTATTTTTTATTATATTTCACTTAATAATTATATTTTTTTTGTTTTTACAATATATCGTCAACTTTATCTAACACACATACATGTACGTATTGTAACAAAAAAAATTCAAAATAACCGGTTATCTTTATAAAGATATCTATCAAATTATATTTCGATCATACAAGAAACAATTTCTTCTATATACGATTATATAAAATTAGATAAGATTTTCATAGGCGATAAATGTTACACGCGAATTCCTAATATTATTCTTTTTAATTTAACAATTAACCTTCTATTGTACATATATTAAACTTTCTTCTATTAGTTTTTCTTAAAAAGTTACAACACACAGAAACTTTATCAATTCAAAAATATTAAATACTTACCGCTTCTCGTCGCCGGCGTTCTTGCTCCCGTTGCCTCAGACGTTCCCTTTCTGCAGCGGACTTGTCCTGACTGGACGAATGACTCGGACTACTGCTATCTGTGTCAGTAATGGCTTTTACTTCTTCTGTTCTTGTCGTGGTAGTCATAACATTGCCTTGTTGATCTCCAATATTTTTTCTAACTTTATCCAGAGCATCCTCTTCCTCTCGTTCCCGTCTTCTTTCATTCTCTTGTCGCAATCTTTCTCGCTCCGCTTGCTCCTTCTGTTGTCTCCGCATCTCTTGTTGCTCTAATAGGGCTCTTTGCTGTTTTACAAATATTATAAAAATATTATTATATAGTTGTGAGGAAATAATATTATGTAATATAGTATTATTTTGTAGAATTATTATCAACTAACTCTATCCTGTTTTTCTTTAGCTTGCTTCTTAAATGCCTGGAATGAGTCTCGCGCTGCACTTTTCATACTACTTCCTGCAGCTGCTGATTGAGGACTCGAAGCTTGCGCCAAGGAAGACCAAGATGATGCATTTTTTACATTCTGCTCTACAGTCTGTATACCCGAAAAAATAGAACTTGAGTAATAAAATCGAACTTAAAAGTAGAATAATTTATTATAATGTTCGTTCATTTATATCTCCACACGTCTTTCAGTTTTTCTTATTTCCTTGAATCGACTGCGCGGAATCCTCACTCTCAAGAGACTAAAAGTCCCGTTATCTTTCTTAAAACAAATATAAACAAAATGTTTCCTCGGTCGATTGAAAAGTCATAGTTTTCGATAGATATACTGAAGGTCTTTGCGCTAACAGATCTGCTTATCTTATACTTCTTGTCTAATGTGTACAAAATAAAAGTACAAATGTGTGTGCGCACGCACGCACGCACGCACACACATTATAAATACATTATCGCTTAAAAATATATTTAGATAAAATTGATACTTCTTTAAATAAGCAATTATGTGTTTTCCTTACAATGATTAATTCATCTCATTATTCTGTTTATAAAAATATTTAGATATAATTATCAAAAAATTAATAGTGTTTACGAGATATTTAACGTTTTGTGTCAAAATACATATGCTAGAATAAAATATAAAATATCTCGTAAACTATTGGTTTTTTGATATATCTACCTTAATACTTTATATACAGAATAATTAGAGGAATCATATTGTGTAAAAACAATTATACAATTCCATTTAAAAAAGTGGAGATGACCTTCATATCTTTTTGGCGCCTCTATTTCGAAAAAAGAAACAAGGTGACCAAAACATGTTCCCCTTCAAATCAAACAATTTCTTCCTTAGGCATTTTCGTATCATTAACGGAGATATTGCCTTGTAACAGAGTTACTAGGACACCCTGTATATATGTGTGTATGTGAGTGTCGAAACAAAGAGTAAGTCCGCAAATATAATTTATACGGATTATGACAATGCAATCGACACAATATAAAGAAATATACGTGTAATATATAAAACAAATACATATATAAAAAATAAATAATATTAAATCTTATAGAACCGTGAGAATTAAAATTAATGAAAAACAAGCTGTAATGATCAAACTGAATCTCTACGAGTTAAATTAATTAACGATTTAACTCATGATATTACTGCGATAGTTTTGTAATGCTTGCATTTCAAGTCTAAAAAAATTTGGCGTGCAGTAAAAAATCTACATATACAAATCTACGTAATATACCAATTCACAAGCGATTATAGAGGCACCCAAGATCCAGCTTAACCGTTACAGCTTTTCACTGATTATGAAAAATAATATTAATAAATATTAACTTAATTATAAATATAAATAGGAATCTATTTGAGACAGACTACTGAGGATGGCTCGAATATAAGCCGAAACGTCTAGATTAATTATATTTTAATAAAGTTTTTTTGATCGCACTACGTACCGCGAGATAACTCTCATTAGCCCTGAATCATTGTTTTTATATTTAAAAAACAATTATCTTATTTTATTTAAATAATATATTAAAAAAATTAATTTATGCTTCTCGCGTGTATAATTTAATGTAAATATTCAGAAAATAGTTATTTACCTTATTTTTAAAGGCTGATGCAAAGTTTGCAGCAGGATTCTTTGAATCAGGTGGAGTCATCTTCTTTTCAGGCATTAATTGAGTACTAGCATGATTACCCATTGGTGGTATTCCTAGGGTGTTCATTTCTGCAAAAAAAGCTCCTGCTAGAGCAATAGTATTATATATCTGGTTAGTAAGCAATTAGATTATAGCAATACGTAAAAAACAGTATTGTTACTTCAAGCATTAGAGATAAGGAAAGAATTTCTACGTACAGAATTTGAAAATCATATTAAACGATAAAAATTGGATTATAATGAAAATGGAATTGAGCATATCAAGAAAAAAAAATAAATTTAAGTAAAATCATTAAGATTGTTAAATCAATTAATGTACATTGCATTACTTTGTACTACATATTAATGTATATTGTATCACTTTTTATCTTATATTATTTTATATAATATTAGTATAAAATTATATATTTTGATTTTGTTGCTGTACTAATATTCAGGCTATTCTTTGCATTATTTCTTGAATTGCGTACAATAAATATAATTTACTAGTATTTTTAGCTAAAGAAAGATGAATATATATAAGTACTCGCGTGCAGCCTACGTGTAGAGAAAAGCATGATATAAATATATAAATGTGAGGCACGAACCATCCAATGGTTTTTGCGTCAGTTGAGGTTGAGAAATTGGCAAGGGCTTTTCCTCTTTCTTTATAGGAATCTGAGAAATCTGCATTGGCATAGATGATATAGGAAGGGGATCAAATATCGAACTCATGCCTATATTCATTCCCATATTTAATCCTGGAATGCCGTTATTATTCAGCATATTGGGCGGTGAATTTCCACGTTTTGTATTTGGAAATCCGTTGGAATGCTGCTGCGACATCGTAATGTTATGTGAATTCTGTATATTAGTCAAAGGCGCAGTAGTATTAATCATATTCTCTAATTGATTGTGCATAGACATATGTGCCGCTAGTCCTTGCGATAAATTCATATTTAAATTTGTCATATTGATATTGCCCAAGTTCAGATTAGAAGCCATACTCGTTGGCATCATGTTCACAGGTTTTACATCCGATAGTAAATTAAGATTGGTGTTGTTATTGGTATTATTCGTATGAGTCGTTTGAATAAATGAAGACTCCTTCTTGATAGTGAGCGTTTGATCCAAGGTGGGCTGTGATTGAATAAATGAAGGCTCCTTCTTGATTGCAAGTGTTTGATCCATGGAAGATTGTGTAGTAGGCACTGAAGCTACATAAAATACATATATAAGATGGTTAACTTTGTATCTACTTTTCATATATAATAAAAAAATATTGTACGCGTTGTATTTATAAACAATACCAATTGTATCTAATTATAGATACCTAAAGTATTGTATGACTGTAAAAGATCAGATTGTTGATTTAAATTTGTTCCGTCTGTGGATATGGATGTATTTGGAAAGGAACTAATGGACGTTGGCTGCTGCGATGGTTGTTGAGATACAGCTGGCGAGGCTGTCATAGAATTTGTATTTGTAGGTGTGACGCTGGGCGGTGGAGTTGGTACAGAAACCGACGGAGTTGGTGGGTTAGATGTTGTCGGTGGTGGTGGTGGTGTTGGTTTTTTTACAGGAGCGGCCGTAGCCAGAGCTGTAGGTCGTGACGGTTGGGCTGGCATAGATGCGTGACTCGCTACAGGCATACTTTGCCCTGTTGTAACAGCAGCCACTGCGACAGGCTGTTGATTATTATTGCCTCCTAAAAGAATTTTTACACTTACACATCTCATAATCTATTAATTAATTATTTAATCACATATATTAATATCTTTTTTTAATAATATACGTTTTTCTTTCTAGTAATTTGTATATTACTAACAAAACTGCTGATAAAAAAAATTATCATTTATAAACAACACTGCCAAATATATGGATTCTAAATCATAAACGAAATAGAGATTTTTATAGATTTTTTGTCACTGATAATAAATAAAATTGCTCCACATCATATTATTTTTAAAAAATTGAATTTAAAAATGTAAAAAAAAATTTTTGACGCTTTAAACTTAAAAGTATCCTAAAAATATGACGCGATACAGCAATTTGTTTTAGGAATTCGTGTCTTCAGCAATAAAAAATCTAGAAGTCATTTATTGCATTGGCTACTTTATGCAAATAACAATGAAAAAAAGAGGAACTTAAATCCATGGATAAATATAATCCTTTGAAAATCGCTTATGCAATTTGAATAATCACCTGCATCTAATGATTGTGGGATCGTTAATTATAAATTATATATTAAAATTATAAAATATAATACGAACCGAATCCTATAACAGTCTAGCTGGATCTTAGTTGCTTATATATAATTTTGCGTGAATTTATATATACTGATATATGTAGTCTTTCTAAACTACGCGCTGAACATTGTCGGTCTTGAAATGCAACTCTAATAAACTACCGCAGTACTATTACAAATTAAATTGATTAACAATTTAATAATTATGTAATGCTCTTTTAGCATTTTATATCAATCTTTAATGACGTTAAAATCTCAAAATTTTTATTGCGAAAAATATTATCTCGGCCGGGAGTCGAACCCGGATCGCTCGTTTTTTTTGCGCAAGCGTCCTAGCCAATTAGACTACTGAAGCCTTAGTAATATTCTTTGCAATAACTGGTATATGTGAAGCGAGAAACGTTTTTTTTTAGGTACGTAAATAAACAATATTAAATTTTAAAAGATTGTTAATGTAACAACATAACTAATACGAATCGAAGCCTATAACAGTCTAGCTAGATCTTAGTTGCTTATATATATATATATATAAAATATATATATACATATATATAATTTGCTTAAATAATTAACAAAAATTTAATTGGAAGTACTAATAGCACTATTGAATTCTATAGAAAAAATAAGTAGTGCATTGCATCATTCTTCTGCAATTCTCCCATCTTTATCCCATTTGTTGTAAAAAGATAACTAATGTTGTGAAATAATAATAATGTTAAAAAAATGACATAAAAACAATTTCATTTATAGATTCATTTTCAGCGACAAAAAATTTGTTTCATTTGTGATCTAAAGAAGTTTAAATTTGTCGGACAGTATAATCTATACATCATTACAGATTTAAAAATTTGAAAATCAGTAATTATAATCACATATTACTAAGTCTATTAATAAAACGCGGATGCGATAAAAAAAAATAAATTAATCTAAAAAAAATAGTTACAATACATCTATACGACAAGTGCGATAAATAAGCGTGTAAATGTCGAGAGAGAGAGAGAGAGATATCTTAGAAAATTTAACTTTAGATTATATTGTATCTTACAAAAGAAGGAAGTATCCCTCATGTAAAAATTAATCAAGATATCAAAGTTATATATTTTGATTTCATTCACCAATAACAATAATACCTGATTCCGAAGGGATATTGCTTGGGTGAGTAACAGGCGGTTTTGTTATTGGTCCCGTAGAATTTGCCGATGGTTGATTATTCATTAAAAGAGCTCCACTATGATTTAATGTAGGTGCCTATATATAAAGAGTATATTATCCTTATCAATAATATTCACATATTAAAATTATTATATATATCAAAGTGAGACAAACATTGTTATAAACATCATATCATGTATTTGCAATATAATTTGCATTAGCCGTTCGAATAATTTGTAAATTCGGAATCAGTACTTACAAAATATTAAGGAACACACAAAATAATATACATTATCTAGAAAATGTTTATAACTTATCTCCTAATAATAAATAAATATATACACTTAATTTTCACCGAGAATTATTACAATCAGTTAATCTTACCGATGCGACAGAAGCAGTTGTTGCAGAAGGTCCTGTACTTGGTGGATTCTTCTTTGTTTTCTTTCTATGTGGACGATTCGAGGAGTTTCCTGAAATTCAATGTAATGTGCATCTAGTAGTGAGTTACGTGCAGTCAATCATAGTTCTGTCACATCAAGAGCACAGGTCGATGAAGAACTAGCGAAATGCAATGTGCAGAGGATACCAGCTATTGAGTGTCGCAAAGCGCCAAGTAAAATATGAAGATACATCAGAAACAAAAATCAAACAACTTTGTGCGTATATTTTCTAATAGATTTTATTCATATGCTTATATTATAATTGTATCACTGTGTACAACAATGTTAATTTAAATATCTCAATTGTATGCTTCTTTTTTTGTGGACTTTCATCTTAATGATTCTTTTATATTAAAAAATTTTAATACGCAGAACAATTTTTTCTTCCCATTCTACGTAAAGTTAGTTGTATTCAATTCATTTATGAATATTGCGTGTATATATATATATATATATATGTGTGTGTGTGTATATACGTACATATATACATACATATCGCACGCACGCCCACACATACATGCATACGTGTCGCGAAATTGTCACACATACATATATGTCTCAACATATATATATGCGAGAGTACACGCCTACTCTCATCGTTTTAGTGTATCGATACTCATGATTTATTATAATAACAGTAATAATAATCGTTACGGTGGCGGAAATGACGATTATAAAACATTGACTACAAAAATCATCAAACTGCCGTTTTTCTTTTATCTCTTTTCATATAATATAATATAATTAATGTAATATTATATAATAATAGGAGTAATGTGTAAATAAAGGTCACATAAATGGTACAATATAGGCTCAACTTAAAAATGAATGATACAAGAGCGACGAACTCTTACAAAACTGTTTAATGTTAAAGTCGTAGTTAGCGCAACACTGAGATCGGTGGCAAGAGACTCCTGCTCGATGTTCATCATGTGTATTACATAAATCAACGGCGGTGGTAGATACATGGAAAACTGGTAACACAAGACAGTATTATCTTTGTCTGATGTGTGCTCTCAAATAATTCGTGATCGCAACAATTGTGAAATCACAGCACTGAAGTTTATCGATGGAATGTGATCGACAAGCTTGTTAAACCCATTCGACAACAAATGAAAGCAACAACAAAACAACGAGGAGGAGTACCAGCGTATCTTAATTTATATAATATAGTTAACTGGACCACCACATATGAGCCAACCGCGACTCTTGAAGAATTAATGTCTATTTCACTCGTTTAACTTTGTGTATGCACTTAGAAAAGTTTCGCGCGTCGTGTATGTCGTTTTATTTCCTCATAAGTGTAACTTACAACTATTTATTAATATTTTATGATATATTAGTTTTCACTATGTACAGAGAACACGTACGATCGTGTTTATCGTTACTATTAAACTTGCGATATACGCAAAAAACAGACGGAACGCTTACATACGACTCTGGAGAGGAAGATAATTAGCAAAATTAAATAAAAAGTATAGTGTCATTTTCTGAATGTAACAAAATATTTAGAATTCTTAAATCTTGCTCTTGCGTATAACGCAAGCAGGAATAATTCATAGCAGGAAGAATGACGTTCCAGTCTAGATAAAAAGACGCGGAAAACAAAATTTAGATGCGTGCTTGCATAGAATCGCTACAAAAATTTTGGAAGGCAATATGAGTATCATTTATAAAATGCCCTATACCTCGCGTTATAAGCTAATGCTGATTGTATTTTAATAGATGCGTAGAATCTAATTCAGCATACGCCGTTCAAAATTCGTTCTCTCATAGTCTAGCTAATTCTTCGAATTTCTCTAGTCACTTTCAGTATCTTGGGAAACATAAAATGGTAATATCGACCTGCCCGACGTTTCTCGCACCTACTTGTAAATGCTTATAGTTCCATATCAATAATTTTCTTAGATATCGACGAACACTTTTTTTCCGACCAATTACGGTTTGTTTGTATCAAGTTATCGTAGTAATTAATCGCCCAAACTCTTATCTTATCTCCTTCTCCTCTTATTTCGTCGGGGCAGTAAGTACGTTGCTCTGAGTGTATGATTCATGATACTATTTAATTGTACTCGAGTGCAAATTCGATTATCCTTAATGCTCATATTATGACATGTTCAATTACAAGGATTGCTTCTTGGAGCATCCTAGAGCGTCATTATCGGTTATGTTCGCAATAAATTCTTATGTATATATTTTGCTATATGTAAAAACTAAATTTACACGATGTCTCAAAAAAAAAAAAAAAAACATTATCGAGCAAGACATTTACACATGGAGATATAAAAACAAAATATCATTAAAATTAATCTTGTTTAAATTCGTATAAAAGATTTTCTAAAAACATTTTGATAAGACACGCACGAGTTAAAAGTAATGTTATTTCGAAAATAATGTACTCGTTATTTGAAATTTCCTTGATATCTACAACACATGTGAAATTCTATTGCGACGAGAAACGAAGTGTATACTTAACAGGAATAATTAGTACTTTATATATTAAGGCATGTAAAACCACACCAATTCGTAATCGTCATTGGAATAATGATGTCAATTTTAATAGCAAGAAGACAATATTTCCAACTTTTCTTTTAACCATTTGAGCGATGAGAAAACTGACAATGGTTACCGATGAAGAACTAGTGGTAAATAGGATGAAACGAAGATTAGCAAAGCTTAGCGGAGTGCAAACAATGTGTCTGGAGGCTAGGGCGCCATGTGTATACATATGTGTATATATAAATATATTAGACCATCTTTTTAAAACTTGTTTCCCTTCCTATTCCTTTTCCCTTTCCAATTGCTTTCTTTGTCTGATCAACCTTTTGATCCTTTCCCATCTCTGTCGTTTCTCGGTCTTATATCTTACCTTCTACTTCTTTATACATAACTTAAACTTTGTATACATATATACATGCTCAAAGTCATTAATTTTATGAAAAAACAATGAGATCTGTGTCAATCAGAATTCAGATATAAATTTACTCCGCACCAATATACTATATATATTCATAATAATTATTTTATTCAAATCTATGCATTCAGAGTAAGATAATAAGGAAGATTTGTATCAGTTTTTGCTTGTTTCACACAAGCAACGTAATATTGTTATCAGATTCGGCTTGTAAGAGACGGAACATTTTAATAATTGACTTCTTAAAGGAAGCACATATTTGGCTATGATAAGCTAAGCTTGAAATGGAATTAGTAATCTGAGATAACTAGGAGTGAGTTTCTTCATGTTGAGAAGAATCTTATTAGAACTTTTCTTTGCGGAGACAAGAGCGTAGCTTATTATTAAAATGCAACGCGTAACACTATGCTAATATTAAAATGCACTGATTTGCAAATCTAGCCACCAATACACATTGTCTGCAATTTCTCCTGTGTGTATCGCTATGATCATTGCCTAATTTATTTTTTTATATTCTGTACTTCGACCGATGTCATTAAAATTCGCAGTTTAAAATGTGTGGAAATGTATGACCGTTTAGGAGCATAAACACACTTTTCACGTCAATACATTGATAATATTGCATATTATATACCCACTTTAATTTGTGGAGTATGTTAATATCACTGTTTTAGATTCTGAGAAATGATACGGCATGAATGAATCAATGCGAGAAAACAAACTTAATGATTCGAAAACACAGTGATACAAGTAATGTTCTGCTTATCGTTTAATGCAAATAAATAACGGGTTTGCAAGAATTAATTGCATTATCTTTCGGGTTATATGGGGCAATATAATTATTGGGGAAAGCTACGATAAATAATCGTGTAACTTATTACAAGGTACTAATATTCGACACTACAGTCAAGGCAACAACACACTTTGATTAAGTGTAATGTCGCTCATTACAGAATAAAATCTTTTCAGACATTTTACTAACCTTAGAAGCAATGACTTTCTTACGAACCCAAAGGCGGAACTGCAGTGAAAAATTCAGTGACCTTGAGTAGCAAACTATACTTGACTTTCGAGCAACAGAATGTACTGTCAACACCGATAGGACAAGAGAAAATAATCATATTGTTCAGAATCAATAATATAATTCGTGAAACAAGCTGGCATGGTATCCTCTAAACACAGTCTGCACTCCACTAGCTCACCTTTGTTCTTACCATTGCATATGTCTCGTAAATTAAATAAAAATTTTTTAACCGTGAGTCAAGTTTCGATTCTTGTACACGATTGTATATCTGCAACACTTGTATAGCGAACAACAGATAAAATTACGTAGACATGACTTGTTCTATAGTTCGTTTACAAGATGAAACTTGACATCGCATTTATACTTGCATTAATATAACGCAGCACTTAAGCTACATGAATAACGCTGTCCTAATAAATACAGTAATTAATAAGCACGATTCAGCAGCTTAAGAAGATATTTGCGTCAAATCCCCATTTAAAGAAATTGTTTACATCTAGTTTGTAACTTCCTTTTTGTATAGCAAATATTAATTATACATTATAACAATATTAATAATAACCAATATCAGCATTTTTCGATTGTTTCATTTGCCAATAGAGAATTGGTTAGGCACAGAATTCATAAATATTTTTCGAAGTTCTTAAATTTATCACCAAATCATGAGGCATAACATTTTTCAATTAAAACTTATCAAACTATAGCATAACAATAGAAATTAATAATATACAGAATAGAAAAGATATTAAGATTATGTATTATAAACATTGTTGTAATTATTGATTACGTATATTACGAAGTATGTACAGCTTATAATATAATTTTAAATATTAACAGAAAATATTCAGTATTTTTATCATAATTTCATACTTTTAACGTACTGAAATTTAATAATAATATTATTATTATTATTATACTTTTAGTAGTACTGTATTATTAAGATATGATCAGAAAAATCATTTTATGGTTTTAAACAAATCTACAGAATTAAACGCCACATGAAATGGTGAGCTGTTTTTTCACAACTATTTCACGTCTACGACTTTGTGACTATTTTTGTTAATAGAAAATTTTTTATCGTTATAAATCGGTAATGTCATTTATGATATTAAATAACACACAAAAAAGACACGCACAGAAAATAAAGATTTTTAAACATGTAGAAATATCTCTGCCTCCCAGACAACCCTGTTACACTTGGCGATAAGAAAAAGCGCATTAACAATCTAAACCATATTTGTCTTTTCTGCATTTGTAAAAATGTATTGTCTTTTATAATTTGGGCGTAAACGTGAGTATGAAAATCTGTGCTTTATAGTGCAACCGTTAGGAAGTAACAAATTTTTTTGCAAAGAACTCGAAAGTATTATCTATATACCTGTTTATATATATACATATATATTAAATTAAAATATAATATACAAATATATATATATACTGAAACAGGTAGTCGTACGTAACCCCATATAATTTTGAATCTCTCACCGAAAAAGTCATTCATATTTCTGTAACAACTACTTAGTTACAAGTAGTTCTTTGTTCCCAGGTAAGGGTCTAATAATAACAACTTATTAGTTGCATTTATATCTAACCTGCTTCACTGTCGCTTGAATCAGTGCTCGTTGAAGAAAGCGAACTACTGCTGGAGTCACTATCGCTGCTACTACTGCTTGACGCTGACAATCGTGAAGGTCCAGTGGTACCACCAGTTCCAACTACATCAACGGACTTATTACTATCTTCTGTAAAAAATATATATAAACAATTTTGTTATTATATCCTAATTTTATTCACACATTTCTTGATATATTTAAAAAATACAAAAAATTTGATCAGATACTGACCTTTCTTGGCAGTTTTCTTGACATTGCCTAACTGTCCTGTTACGTCTTGTAACCTCTTTTCTAATTCTTGTTTCTTTTCAGCCATTTGTTCATCCTTGGACTTACCACTGACTTTTTTATCTGTTAACACACGATAAAATACTATGTAAAATATATTGTATTAGATATACTATATAAATTATATAAGATATGGCAAATTTTTTAATTCATTAATTTATTAATCGCAATTTATTATGCACAAATGCAGCTTTTACAAAACAAAATTACATTTGTGCACAATGTGACTAATCAATCAATGAATTAAAAAATTCGTTCGTAAAATATATTATACAAGAAATTTATTGTATCATAAATAGTATGCGTATTCGCGCACACATGCATATGTAGTTACACTACATTACAGGGTTGAGAAGTAACTAGTTATAGTTGTAATTAAGGTATAGTTTATAGTTACTTTTTTCGCTAATTTTAATTTAACTTCGTCTCTTTATCTTCAATTGTAACTGTAACTTAACTTAGGTCCAATTTTTCATTACCTAGTTAATAACTTGTATAATAATAACGTGAATATTATAGATGAAGTTCATTGGATAAAACATCAGATTAAGTCTAACCACGAGTTAAAGAAAATGAAAAATCGGACGTTATATACAATAGTTACATTTCTTTTAGAAAGTAGTGATCAATTTGAGTTACTTTTACAGTTACTTTATATATTTTGAACTTATTTATCAATTTCATGTAATTAGTTAGAACTTAAATAGCTGCCACGATTAGTTGCATAAAAGTCAAAAACTATTCAAAAGATGAACAGCAATTTAATTTTCTTTATTGTTAATGTTCACTAATACTTTATCTATAAAGAATTATCTATAATGAAAGTAATACAGTGTAATAAATTGTTAAGTCGTGAGAAATTTACCAATCAGTCAAATAAAATAAGAATAATCGATTAAGATTGGTCAATTTCTTAAAATTTACTGCTTCCTACGCAATATTACTCCCATAGACTCTCTGTCCAAAGCTTACTCTACAAATGGTCGTAACAGTAAGACTGCAAGATATGATTATATATCCCTTTCTAACCAGCTAGCTTTAATACGCATTACAATCTTATAGCTTTATGTTGCGTTATTGTAGAATGGGCTTAAAAGCTGTAAATTATCTATACGAATACCATAAGGCAGTAAGAAGTAAGCAAAGTGGCTAATCACAATAGAAAACATAAAAATTACTGTCTTATATTATTTTCTACTGTGATTGGCCGATTCGCTTAGTATTTATATCTTACTGCTTTACATTTTTTCTATACGTTTCTGACTTAAAGTTCCTGAGTCAACGATACTTTTATTAATTTGAGAAAAACCAATCTTTTATACTGGCTTCAATTTAAAAAATTTAAAATATTTAAGTTTATTATTAAATATAAAATATACACTGAAAGTATACAATTTTGTAGATAAAAATATTATCTTTTATAATTCCGGATTGATAAGAGATGTCTTTTTTTTTTTTTTTTTT